GCCTTTTTTGGCTCTCGTATGCTGCAGGTAGATTTCGTTGCTGCTATGGAGCAATTCTTCGCCTACAGCTGATCGCCTCTGACTTCCTCTATCCCATGCTCTGTTGGAAATGGCAATAGTTGATGCAATATTGAGGGAACTGCCCCCATTGCATGCAACCATGGCCTTCCCAAGATGATGTTGTAAGGAGAGGGTGTGTCGATTACGGTGAACTCTGTTGTTACCTTCCTGGTGCCCACCTGTACCTCAAAGCTGGTTGTTCCCAGTGACCATGTCGGCGTTCCTTTGAACCCGACCATTGGGCTATTGGATTGCTCCATATCGTCTGGATGAAGGCCGAGCTCCTTGTAACATCGAACGTACATGATGTTGCAAGAGCTGCCTTGGTCAATCAGGATGCGTTTTACTTGGTATTCCCCAACCTGGAGGGATACTACCAAGGCATCATTATGCGGATGTTGTACCATCTCAAAGTCGGCTTCTGAAAAGGACACTACTGGTCCTTAGCGCTCCTCTGCTCGATATCTCTTTTCCCCGACTTGGTAGACATGTTGCAGGTGCTTCACTTTCTGGGTCTCCTCCCTAATTTCGTTCTCGTTGACCTTCGAGTGAATTACATTGACTACCCGAGGTCCTCTTGCCTGAGGTTGTGGTGCTGGGGGAGGCGGAGCTGCTGCTACCTGAGGCAATCTTGCCTGTTCTTCCCTTGTCCTGGCCTTATCGATGAGGTCTCTCAGATGGCCTTGCCTCACCAGTTCTTCCAAGTGTGTTTTCAGGGCTCTACAACCCTGAGTCGTGTGCCCATCTTCGTTGTGGTAAGCACAATATCTGCCAACATTCCTTTCCATAAATTCTCCTGGTGCCTTCGCTGGTGTTTTGAAATAGGGTTGGTTCTGAATCCGGTCCAGGACTTTGGGAATCGGGATTCGGAACACAGTTGTTACTGCCTGTGTGGCCCTCAGTTCTATTTCTTGTTTGCTCGATCCATTGTTACCTCGGTCTCGCTTCGGCGAGCCGTTTCCCCTCTCTAGCTTATCTCCTTAGTCCCCGACGTGTCTTCCTCGGCTCTGGCATACTTCTCGATTCTCGCCATGAGCTCTTTCATACTTTTTGGCAATGTCTTTGTCAAAGACTTTCGTAGTGGACAGTTGTCTTTTAGGCCATTCTTAACGGATACGACCGCCACCTCTTGATTGCATTCGAGTATTCGGTTGAACACCTCATAGTATCTTTTTGCATAGGCCCTAAGGCCTTCATCCTTGCTGATCTTCAGGGCCATCAACGCGTCCACCCTTAATGGCTGCAGCTTGTTTGTCACGAACCTGGCTACAAACATCTCGGCCAAGCCTTCCCAAGTCTTCACGCTTTCCTTCGGTAGTTTATAGAACCAATCTGATGCAATCTCCCTGAAGGATGAGGGGAACACTTTGCAGAGCAACAGCTCGTTCCCACTATACAATGCCATTGAGTTCAAATATAGTCCAACGTGGAAGTTGGGGTCTGACTTACTATCGTATATTTGAAACCTCGGTATACTGAATCTCTTTGGTGCCTCAAACCTGTCTAATTCCACCAAGAATGGTGTCCTCGGCTTATCTGGGGAGGTTACCTCAGTGTAGGCATTCTGTTGCTTCCTCTTGAGGTAATCTCTTAAGTCCTCCTTCGTCTGCCAGGAGCTCGGCTATCTCCTGCTTTTAGTCTTTTTGGTGTGTTACTTTCAGCTTCGTGGTGAGTCCTTTTCGACCCTTCTCCATGAGTTGTGTCGAAGCACAGTGCCTGCCCCTGAACATTCTGATGCCCTTTGGGGTCTGCCTCCTTTGTGTGGTGCGTCCTCCGTGATTCTTCTCTTCTTGACTCTCTTCGTTCGTCTTCCCTAGAAGGTCGGTAAGAGTATCTTTCGCTCCTGTTGTGCTGAGGGGCTACGGGGATTGTTCTCTGCCCTCCCTTCTGGGCATTGGCCACTGGAATCGGCGTATCTTGCAACGGGAACGGTGGCTGCATGATGTTATTTTGCATTATGAAATTGATGACCAACTGCAGGTCTGCCAATTTGTTTTCCATCTCTTTTACCTCTGCGTCCCTTCGTAGGCACCTATCTTTCCAAACCTAGAGGTCGTCCTCATTGTAGTATCCACTTCGATCTGGTTTCTTTGGTGCGTCGCCAGTCTGGCCGACGTCTTTCACTCCGTGATTTTGGTCACGAGTTTCTGCGTTGCATTCGTCTCCTGTGATATCAAGGTTAAAAGGTCTCCCACTCCCAGCAGGAGTGTCGTTCCAAATATTTTCCTTCTGTCCGTTACTGGCCATCTATTCTACTTTTTTCCCACAGACGGCATCAAATTGTGTGAGTGATTTTCATATCACACTGCCCAACTCAGTATTCAGCTGGAGAACACTGGCAGAATAGATGACACCTGGCTAACTTGTAACAGAAAGAGAAGATTCCGGCGGTGGTTCATCCACCCGAGGGCACTCCGACGATCAAGTCAGTATATCTCTCAAAGATAATCAATAGTGCTAAATTCACTATTCAGAACATAAATTGCGTACCTTAGACCCACGGGGGTGTCTCCCTTTTATAGCTAACTCAATCCTTGTCCCAACAGGAGCCTAGCTCTAATGGACTTAGGATTACTATCAATCTTGCACTCCCAGTAGGATTAGGATAAACTCCCTAAGAGTCTTATCCTTTCCCAACTGTAGTCTTCCCCTTTTCTAGGACTCTTGTGCATTATCCGCTTATCTCGGATTCTGATATCTTCGGAGATAACCTCGGCTTAACCGAGATCACCTCGGCATCATGACCTGGACACGTGACACCTCGACTGACACGTCGGCGTCACCTTGCCACGTGTTGGTACTCAAAAATATATCCCCACAACAATTAAAGAAGAAAATAACATAATTTAGGAGTGCATATGATAGGAGTGTGTATAGTAGAATTCTCCCATCAAATTATTATCACTTAAAAAAAAAAAAATTATTTGTATTTCTCAGATTACACATGACAAAAAGATTGACCAAACAACTTGCCAGACTTGACTTCTTTCCAATTTGCTTTATATATATATATATATATATATATTGTAGTTACGCCCTTCACCAGATAGTCCAGTTTTCTTTGAGTGCGATGTATTTCTTACTCATCTACTAGACACTTACATAGAAGATCCTTTCCTCTTCTCTTTTTTTTTTTTCGTTATTATTATTTGAAAAATTACACAATTGGTTCCTATAATTTTATATAAATTTCACTTTAGTTTTTGTAATTATAATTTTATCAATTTTGTCCATATACTTTCATTTTGATTACAATGCATAGTTCTAAATCGCGGTATCGGGTAACGTAACGGTATCGATTGCGAAGTATCGGTATCGGTAATATCGGCCGGTACGTATCGGGAATCAGGTGTCACGATCGTGAAATTTTAAAAATCATTAGCAATCCCTCTAAAATTGAATTTTATGCATTTTTTTGACTTGTTTAACCTTTATTTGTTACATTTTAATCAAAATTTTGATATGTAGGATTACTTTTGACTCATTTTCAACTAAATGATATGTATTTATTTTTGGCATATGTTAAACTTTTTATAAAAAAATTGATTTGAATATTTATTTTTCTTATATTGAGAAAAAAATAAATATAAAAATTAAACATTTACAATCTACAAATCCACCATAAACCCATGCACCTTCATGTACCTAAGTACCTCTCTTCTCACCCATTTCAATCTAAGACTGGTAATGCCCCATGTATATCCATTTCAATATCAGACTCGCATACATAATACAACCACAAACAATGCTCTCTCTCTCTCAAAATGTTGACCGAAAGTTGTAGAATTCCGTTAAACCCAAAAAAATTCAGATTTAGATCGTCGACAAAAGAAAAAAAAAAAAAAAAGACAAAAAAAAAAAAAAAACAGAAACAGAAATAGAACAGAGCACAACAACAAAAACAGAGATGTATCCGACTGTATCGGCCCGTATCAGCCCATGTATCGGATTCAAGCCGCTACGTACCGGGACTCGGACGTTACGGACGCAAAATTCATTCTCACCGGTATAGCAGTGAGTATCCGACTCGGCACTCCAATTTTCCGATACGAACCGGCCGGTACGGCACGTACTGGCCGATATTTAGAACCTTGTTCCAATGTACTCCATCTATCATTATCTGTTGCTGGTCAAAAAAAAAAAAAAAAACTTATCATCATCTGTTAATATTCAAATGGAAAAAAAGAAAAAGAAATGACATTTGCCAAATTAGAGGGACACAATAAAATTCTGTTAAGATTTCTTAATTTTTATATTATGAGAGGGAATTGTTAACATGCATCTGTCAATGAAAATGTTAAACAACAATGACAAATGACAGTGGAATTATATTAAAATGGAAATGAAAATATGATATCCAAATTGTTGAAATTAAAATTATGAAAATTAAAGTGAAATTTTGTTCCAACTGTAGAGATCAATTATGTAATTTACCATTCTCCCTAATCCTCTGTTCAGTTTGGGCCATAGATCAACCACGGACCCTCACTTTAATGATTTGATCTGTTAATTTTATTGGTGTATAAATCATTCATAAAAAAGTCAGATTGATAATCAAACAATTTGTTTCAAAATTATACTCGTCATCTATTTCAGTGAAGACAGATATGATAAAATCATATTATTATAATTATCTAATCAATTTAATTTTTCATGGATGGTCCATACACTGAGATTAAAAGATCAACAGATCAAATCACGAAAGTAGGACGACCAAACTAGCCCAATCCACATAGCGCACAAGACACAAACCCAACCACCAAATCAACTCTTAGTTGCACTCCATCAATTTATAATTACTGTCATCACTTGTTATTTCTTTATGAAATTATTCCTATATATATTGATGTATTTGAATAATAGTTTACAATAATGAAAAATTACATATGAAAATGTAAATTAAACCGAAATGATCTAATGTAGGCACATAATTTTACAAAACAGAAAAGACAGTAATAACAAACCATCACCCAATTTGTTATCATTGTGGACTCAACAGTACAAAAAAATCACCTCCCATCATCCATTGGCAACATCATATGTGCCCTCACACTATCGTACCCAGTTGTTGTTGTGTTACTACTACTAGTAGTACAATCTAACTCGAACCCACTTAACTTCCCACCAAGCAAGTGCTCACTCTCTTCACCATTCAAATCAATTTTAACCCATGGATGCTTCATCTTTTTGTTGATCAACCCCTCCAATTCCATTGCTACTTCCTTCATAGTAGGCCTCTCCTCTCCTTTTACTATTAAGCACCTCTTTGCAATATTAGCTACTTCTATGAGCTCCTCAACAATTCCTTCAATTTCTATTTGTTCATCAGTAACATGCAACAATCGATCATTTTTCATACACGAAAGAAAATATCTAGCTAGACTCCTCTCCTTCTCTGGCTTGTCAAATGACAACACCTTCTTTCTAGTGATTAACTCCACAAGGACTACTCCGAAGCTGTAAACATCACTTTTTTCTGTCAATTGGTTTGTGAGCATGTACTCAGGGTCTAAGTATCCAAGAGTTCCTTGCATCACCGTTGCTAATTGATCTTGGTCTAGTGGAACCAACCTTGATGCTCCAAAGTCTGACACTTTTGTAGTGTAGTTATCGTCTAAGAGTATATTCGTAGACTTAACATCTCTATGAATAATAGGAATCGATGCTGCAGAGTGCAAATATGACAATACTCCAGCAGTTTCAGCAGCTATTCGCAAACGATTTTCCCATGATATAGACGCCTTGAAGTGGTTATGTATATGCTCAAAGAGAGTGCCATTAGTGATGAATTCATAGACGAGTAAAGGGACTTGAGTTTCCAAACAACAACCTAAGAGTTTGACCACATTCCTATGATTGATCTGTGAAAGCACAACCACCTCATTGATGAATTGCTCTATTTGACTTTGATTCATAATTTGCGATTTTTTGATGGCCACTGTCGTGTTATCAACTAGAATTCCCCTATAAACTGTTCCAAAACCTCCTCTGCCAACAATTCTATTGTCATCGTAGTTGTCGGTAGCCCGCTTGAGCTCTTCTAAAGTAAAGATTTTGACCATTTCCTGAGTCGATCTCTCTAGTCTAGAGAGTTGTTGTTTCAATATTAATCCACCATTTTGCTTGAAGAACTTTTCTTTAAGCTTCATGTGCTTTCTTTTGTTGAAAATCCAATACAACCAAGAGCTACTCACCAAAACAGTCAAAACACCAATGGCGATACCTGTATTTCAAATAAGTCATTTTTAAGTAACAAAGACTATAAACATCTTGCCAATATATTGATTCGAAGCTAAGCATAGAAAGACAATTATATGACTCACGATATTAATATAAAAAAATGTCATATAAACTTACAAATTTTACCAAAAAAAATTATTACTGCTAATGTAACATGCAATAATAAAACTTTAAAATCTGGAACATACCCATTGAAATAATATGTTATGTATCATATATATGAGTGAGTAAGATAAATTTGTAAAATTTATTAATTTATATAGCATTACCCTATTAAATAATTTTAAATATTCTTTCAAGTCACTGGAGTATAAAAGGATGTGGATCCAATTGGGGATGTAGGTTGCAAGTAAATTCTTCCAAATTCATTAATTATGTGAATTAGGTGTTGTACTTTATTTATTTTACTTTTGGCATATATGGCATTACCAATCACAATCTGAAGCACAATAACTCGACCAGAAGTGCAACGTGTTCCATCTGTTCTGCCATCACCGTGATATCTCTTGGGGCAATGTAGACGCGTCCCGCGAGGGGCCTTCACTACTACAGTTTGGACTCGATTTGTGTCACAGTTCTTAATCTGAACCAAAGAGTCCAAATCCGGCAAATCGTTTTGAGAAACAGATTTTTGAAAAGAAGTGCCAAACATGGACTGCTTTGCCAGATACAGAGTCGCCACCTAAATATTTTAAAATGAG